CACACACACACACACACACACAGATAAAACTGCACAGCTTTTCAAACACATGTTTGTGTATGTCACTTCCAAACATCATCTGCTCTGATCAGTGTTTGTGCAGATGTTGATGAACACTGGGCTCTGGGTTTGATCTGAACTTCCAACATCAACTTCTGTAATTCTGCCTGAACTGCTCAACATACAGACTACACTTATATTTGTATAAAATGAATGCTTTTAAACAAAAAAATACAACCCTTCCCTTTTCTGAGGGAAACTCCATATCTGGTCATTCTGGCATGATTTGTGTCTGTTCTGATTGAGTTTTTATTCCCCTTGTGTCAATTCCAAAATCCACTCTCAACTTCTCATTTCCCTTGGTTTCTTTTAAAACCTAGCCATACAGATTCATTTCTTTAAGGTGTTGTGGCAGCAAAACACCACTAGAAAACAAATGTAAAAAACAAAAGGGAAATTATAATACTTGCAGAAGGGAAAACAAAGAAAGCAAACGAAGCAGCAGCAAGCGACACACACCCTTTAAAGTCTCCGTCTCCACCAGCACAGCTGAACACAATAATCACTGACACATTCTGATTGGCTGAGAACCAGAGTGTTCAACTATTCAACCAATCAGAAAGATTCCTGAGCTGCACCTCAATTTGCATACTCGTGCTTCCATTACTTCCATTGCACACCCTGTTTGTGTTTGCATACATGCATCAGCATCAGACTCAACTCATTTATTTCTATTTTTACTGTAAGTAAACTGATATCATGTCAACACTTATTTTTAAACTTTATGAAAAATCATTGAAAAAAATAATTAATCAATAATCCTACAGAAATGAGGACACAGTTTTGATGACATTTTCAAAGATGTTTTTATATATTTTGAATCAACAGATATATCTGTTAATTTTATGGTGAATCTTGTGATTTTGTGTAGTAAATTTAATATACATAAAAACTAAATTCTAATTCTAAGAGTCATTCTAAACTAAGTTTTAAGATCTTAAAGGGGTCATCCAATGCCCATTTTCCACAAGTTGATATGAAGTTGAACTGCTCAGGACCAACGAGGGACTCATGAACAACTATCACAAAACATAAAAACAGTCGTGGATCATCCAGGAAACAACTCAGATTATTAAGATTCAAGGGTATGTAAACTTTTGAACGGCGTCATTTTGAATGAATTCATTACATATTATTTTGTCTTGTGGAGTATATACAGTGGGTACGGAAAGTATTCATTTTCTGTCAATGTGGGGTGCTGTGTGTACATTAATGAGGAAAAAAAATTAACTTAAATGATTTTAGCAAATGGCTGCAATATAACAAAGAGTGAAAAATTTAAGAGGGTCTGAATACTTTCCGTACCCACTGTATAAACATCTGTTATGTAGTAACAGCTTATTCAGGAGAGTAGGCCTGCTGAATAAAAATAACATGCAATTTTCATGATCTCTCTTATTTAGTTAAAATTATTAACATATTGGCATATTCTGCAAGGCGTATGTAATCTTATGAGCACAACTGTATGTGTGTGTGTGTGTGTGTGTATACACACACATACTTATATAGTATGTTGTGTTTAGATGTCTTGTTATATCTGTATAGCCTATTGTTTAACAAATTATGCTGTGTCTTTAGCATTCATTCAAAAAATAAATAAAAAGCACTAAGAACACACAGTCAGAATACAGCAGCTGCGGTGAAGTTCTGCCTTTCACCAGCAGGGGTCCGGGACCCACATCTCCATGACAACATCACAAGAGTCCGACTCACTGATCGGATCGGAGGACTCGCTCCAAACATCTGTTTGAGGTGGCAGCTTTATTATTGATATAAGCATGTGGAAAAAGCTCTCCATAATAATATTTTTGAATCGTATACAAAAGGCCTGTTCCCTAAACACAAGAGACTTTGAAAACCCCTGACATCACCAGGGAAATCAGTCAGACGTTCAGTCGCGTCTGTTTTTCTACGTAATGACGGTAAGAGTCATCCAGACTCCCTGCGTCTCCTGAAAACCCTCACAAACCCTGAGCTCACACACAGTTCCTGCATGTTACTGTAAATGTAAAGCAGGTTCAGCATTAGTGCAATGCATTTTGTTTTTCAAAGCTGCTCGTCTAATAAACTCCCTTTGGAAAGCAGTTGCATTTAAAGTTTTGGCAGTAAACCCAACACAACATAAGCAAGAATAAAGCAGTGAAACTATTTACCCGTTACTAGTTACTACAGCTTAGTGTTGAGACTGCAGTTCAGACCTAATAATCGAGTGTGAAAAGAGCAAAGAGTCAAACCAAACAGTCTGAGCAAATCGAAACTAGGCATAAGTTATGTATTTTTCTGTTTGAAATTAACAACATGTAAATAATAAACAGAATAAACCATTTTAGCGTGTTTATCTTATCCTAAAACGCTAGAGTTGTCGGGACAAATTTCCCAGGAAAACTGCATACCTAGGCTACATATCCGCAGAGTTGGGAAGGTTACTTTGGAAATGTAATAAGTTACAGATTACCCTATTAGTGTAGCTATTCCAATTACTTTATTAAAGTAATGTAACTGATTTTGATTACTTTTCTACATTTCTAACGAATGTTTTCAACTGTTAATGATTTTCAAACATGTAAAGCAGGCAGGGTTAACCTTACAGTAGATCTCAATACTGATTACTGCCAGACTTACAAAATCCTTCATTACTTGATTTAAGATTATAATCATTTCATTTTAAAGCACGACCACAACAAAATCAGACTTTAGCACACTGCCTTTTACTTTGGGATCATTCTGAGGTTAAATAGATTTAATATCATAACAAGAAATAGTTTAATAGCTATGATACCGTTTTTGAAATTAAATCTTTGCTATGATAGAAAACACTGGCATTTAACAATGTCTTTGGGGGAAAAAAGTGAATCTTAAAAAATGAAGCATATACATAAACAAATAAAACAGTTATTGAATAAGCATCTGTCCTATTCTGTGTCCTAAACTCCTGAAATATTGGTGTCTCATATTTTAGAGCAGTCACTGCAATTTGAGAAAGGAATCAACCAAATCTGTATGTGTGTGAAAATATTCAAATGTAACTCCCTTTGTAATTGTTAACATTTTCATAAGTAACTGTAATTTAATTACACATTTTTTTCTCAGTAACTGTAACAGATTACACTTACATTTATTTTGTAATTAAATTACGTAATTCCGTTGCATGTAACTAGTTACTCCCAGACACTGCATATAAAGGAAAGAATATGCAGTGAAAGAAGCTTGAAGCCACAACAGCTTGAACCTCGAAACGATAAAGAGTTTGCAAGCGAAAAAGGAACTTGAAGCCCGTAATAAAACACGAATCAACATAGCTTCAGATTCGCTGTTTGTGGTCTTAAAACAATGCCACCTCTAAACCAGTTACTACTTTGTTTAAAAGTCAGCAACAACAACAGCATATAAGCTCTTACGCAAGATATTTCCGGCGGATGTCCGTCTTTCAGTTTTTGGAGTTTTGATGTTGTTAGTGACATTTGCATTCATCTGTAATCACAATCATAGCAGCGTGCCTCAAAACATCAGATTCGTCCGCGCACAACTCACGTGACGACCAAAATAATGTTCCTCCTCATACACTTATCCACACTAGTTTCTACAAAATAATAAAATCAATATCTCATGTCTATGTGTGTTTGAATTTGGTATTAGCAGCCATAAGTCGGATCATATGCGTTCAGCTGATCTTTATGACAAAATAAACCCCTTCAGGGTGATACAAGACCCTCCAATCTTAATTGAGTTTTAGTGATACTGACCGACCGACTGACTGCACATTATCCATTATATAAAAACATCACAAGTCTGTGATATGTTCTCCTTTGCATAATCTTCGATTATTTTATTTTTTTTTTAATTCAAATGGGGTGGAACTTAGTGACTTTTGTGCCACTTGCTAATATGAATATATAAATGCAAAAAAAATCGGGGACATGATTAGAAAAGGCTAAATGGTCGTGGGTTATTTTCACAGTCAAAAAGGACAACTATAGTAAAATAAATGAGACACACGAAAAAGATTAATTTTGGGGTACAATCCACAAATCAGCCTAAATAAAGTAGTATTTGACAATAAATGTACATATATATATATATATATATATATATATATAAACCAAACAAGATTTATGATGCTGATGACCGTTGAAATGCATCATCACAATCTGTAAAAAAAAAAGGGTCCATTGAGAGTTGCCTGGCCTTAGTCGACTTGCTGTGACCCCTTCGACTTTTTGACTGTCAGTTTATATGCCCATTGTCTTTGGTTTTGACTGCCATGCGTGACTAGATTAACGTGAGTGATGTTGCAGATATTAACTCATCAGCAGCAGTCTAATACAGTTCGTGTACAGACAATTCTGACTCTAAAGGTCTGATATGAGCGCCAACAGATTTCCCTGTAAACAGCAGAAGAGTGCACTGACGTCCAGCATGGCTCATATCACAGCAGTCTGGGTTTCATGGATCACTGAGAAACACATTTCTGAGGTCAGACAGAGTCGAGGTGGATCGGAGGACATTCACATCTTCTGCTTCCGTCAGGAGCTGCAGCTCTGCAGAAGTCGAGTTGTGTCTGTAGTTTGGAAAGATGTCACATACATTCCAGCTTTGGCTTGACCTGCTCCCTGAGGTTTGATATGACGGTCAGTGGTAGAACATCACCATCTAGTGTCTAAACACTCTCACAGCCTCTAACAACATGCAGTTCAATTCAGAAAAAAATCAGCCAATGGGTGCATACAATACAGTGTGATTTGCTAGATATTGCAGATAAATGCATAAAACTCGAAATAAACTTCATAACATTTATTGTAATTCTGGTGACCCTGAAGCACCAGAGAACAAACAGCAAACCAAATAAAAGTGAAGAACTTGATCTGAACAGCTCTCTTCTTTCATAAACCCTGCATATTCAATAAAAGTGATTTCAACAGAACTACAGGTTTAGGGGTTTTTCATGGGTCAGTTTGAATCGGTGTAAGATGTGAAACTCTGCTCTGTGTTTGGATCCTCAGGAGGGTTTGAGATGCCCATCTGCTGCCCGCTGGCCCTGACCAAACCAAATACACATTAAAACGGGCTGCGTACGTGTGTGTGAAGCTTCATATATAACAGTTCATAGTGTTCTCATTCAGACAGGGTACCTGCTGTGTGGTGAGTCTGAGCAGGTCTTCATACAGTCTTTTCCATCGGTCCGCCTCAGCCTGGAGGTCAGACATCACCTCAGCACTCCACCTGTGAGGAAACCAGAAAAATCATAGCGTAATGTATAAATTAAAATAACATAAAAATAAATAAAATAATAAAATTAAATTAAAATTACAAAATAAAAATAAATAAAAACAAATAAAAACAAATTTTAAATTAAATTAAATAAAATATACAAAAAAGTGAAAAATAAAATACAAAATATAAAAAATAATATAAAATACGAAATAAATAAAATAAATTAAAATAATGACCTGCTGCAGGGTTCTGTGGAACGATTGGAGTGCACAGTATTCCTAACAGTATCCAACTCCACCTGTAACCTGTTCACCTGCAGCTCCAGGGAGTCCTTCTCACCTGACAGACAATCCTTAAACCTGCACACACACACACACACACACACACACACACATCTGTTTATCTGCAGAAAACAGCTTCATTTTCCTTTTTAGAGCTGTTCCTATAGGCTGTATGTTTGATCCTGACATTGGTGGGGACATAACAGCAGACAACAACCCCCTCCCCATCCAACGACCCCAACATTTCTGCATTAATGATAGACTTTTGACATCTAAAGTCTGTACTTACAGCTATGTTAGCTAACTCATAATTCATAAAGAGAGCTTTTTGCGTTAGCATATTCATCAGACAATAATTATACAATTTTGATTATATAAAACAAACAACATTACAGCAGCAACTGTTACATTACAACGCATGAAACAGAACGGGTCGTTTGAGGTTGAACTACTTCTCACACGATAATTCTATAAAATGTTTGTGGCATCGCAGGACAAATCTGCTCATTTTCAAGAGTTTACAAACTAGTGAAGTGTGTGCATTTATCAGGGTTGCCAGGTTCTTGCAACAATACCCGCCCAATTTCAACTCAAAACTAGCCCAATCGCGTATCGAGGGGGGTCTCCCAGTAAAAAAAATTGCGTTCCGGGGGATAAAATACAAATTTTTTGCCGGGGTTCCCTGATACAATTCACATTCCAGGGGCTAAATATCACGTTATTGGGGTCTCTTCAACCCGCGGACATGAAAAACAACCCGCTCTTTACGAATTCTCGTGCCGCAGTTCCTCCACCGTCTTCTGGTGGGCGCTGTGTTGATTGCGCAGATCCTGCCGAAAGGCTTCATGCGACATCTGGAGCTCCATCAGCTCCAGCGATTTACTGATCAATTAAAAATAAACAAATATAAAATACAGACTTAAAGGGATAGTTCACCAAAAAATGAAAATTATGTTATGAATTACTCACCCTCATGTCGTTCCAAACCCGTAAGACCTTCGTTCATCTTCGGAACACAAATTAAAATATTTTTGATGAGATCTGAGAGCTCTCTGACCCTCCATAGACAACAACGTATGCAATGTATGTAGATTCTGTCATTAATTACTCACCCTCATGTCGTTCCAAACCCGTAAGACCTTCGTTCATCTTCGGAACACAAATTAAAATATTTTTGATGAGATCTGAGAGCTCTCTGACCCTCCATAGACAACAACGTATGCAATGTATGTACACGGATACAGTGTTAACGTTCAGATCAAAGCGTAAACAACGTTAACAGCGCATCCGCGTACATACATTGCATACGTTGTTTATGTATGTGATACTGTCCAAAATGGCACTATAGGGTGATGCGGAAGAAACAAATTGTCGAATAAAGTCATTATTTTTGTTTTCTTTGCACACAAAAAGTATTCTCGTAGCTTCGTAAAATTACGGTTGAACCCCTGATGTCACATGGATTATTTTAACGATGTCCTTGCTACGTTTCTGTGCCTTGATCGTGTTAGGATGCTTGCTGTCTATGTCTATGTCTATGTCGAGGGTCAGAGAGCTCTCGGATTTCATCAAAAATATCTTAATTTGTGTTCTGAAGATGAATGAAGGTCTTACGGTTTGGAACGACATGAGGGTGAGTAATTAAAGACAGAATTTTTCTTTTGTGGGTGAACTATCTCTTTAAGACTATAGACTATACCAGGGGTGGCGAACGTCGGTTCTGGAGAGCCGCAGCCCTGCAGAGTTTTGCTTCAACCCTAATCAAACACATCTGAACAAGCTAATCAAGGTCTGAATGGTTACTAGGAAGCTACAGGCAGGTGAGGTTTAATTAGGGTTGGAGCTGAACTCTGCAGGGCTGAGGCTCACCAGGACCGGAGTTCGCCACCGCTGGACTATACTATAGATCTATAAACACTGTCCAACAAGTCCTAAAGTTTCATCTTTACCGGGACATTCTAAAATGCTTAACGTATCTTAATGCATTAATAGTGTTTTTAAAAGACCAAACTTAGTAAACACATTAATAAGGCAGACAAGCAGATGAGCCCATAAATAAAGAAAACGCTTCAAGTGGCTTAATGCTTTAAGACAGTGTTTTTAAAAGACCAAACTCTGTAAACATGTTATTAATAAATCATGCTATGTACAGACAAGCAGATGAGTCCAGAATAACGCAACGCGTTTAATAACGCGTTAAGCGTTTTCCTCCCATAGAAAACCGTTATAAGGAAAATGCTTAAAGTGGCTTAATGCATTAAGAACTCTGTAAACACATTATTAATAAAGCATACTATATACAGACAAACAGAGCCCATAATAAAACACTGCTTTAATGCATCCATGTTGGTATTTTCCTTATAACGGTTTTCTACGGGCTTAACGCGTTATTAAACGCGTTGCGAAAACCGTTATAAGGAAAATACCAACATGGATGCATTAAAGCAGTGTTTTATTATGGGCTCTGTTTGTCTGTATATAGTATGCTTTATTAATAATGTGTTTACAGAGTTCTTAATGCATTAAGCCACTTTAAGCATTTTCCTTATAACGGTTTTCTATGGGAGGAAAACGCTTAACGCGTTATTAAACGCGTTGCGTTATTCTGGACTCATCTGCTTGTCTGTACATAGCATGATTTATTAATAACATGTTTACAGAGTTTGGTCTTTTAAAAACACTGTCTTAAAGCATTAAGCCATGTTAAGCATTTTTTCACATTAAGCGTTTTAGAATGTCACTCTTATGCTGCGTTCACACCAAACGCGAATAGAGCGTCTGGCGCGAATGATTTCAATGTTAAGTCAATGTAAAGACGCGTTTACGCGCGTCTGGAGGTCTCGCGGCGCGAATGAGGCGTTTAGCGCGGCGCGGAAGACGCGAATTCGCCTCATTCGCGCGTCAATTTCGCTTCAAACGCTTGTTTTTTACGCGCGTCTATTTCGCTCTAGACGCGCGAATGCATTCAAAATGTTCAAGCGGCAAACTAGACGCGGTAGACGCGAATTTGACGCCCTATTCGCGTTTGGTGTGAACGCAGCATTCACCCTCTGATTTGCCACCTGTTTAGCTGCATCTCTAGGTCTTCTATTTTCTGAGTCTCCTCGCGGAGCTGCGTCTCCAGGACTTCAGCCTGCTGAGCTCTGAGCTGGGCCTCCTGGTGCAGCTCATCCACCAGGCCCATGAGCTGCGTCTCTGAGCCCTGCAGCTGCTGTAAATCACAGCTCACCTGCTCCAGCTGAAGACACAGCAGGGAGGCGTCTCTCCAGCGCTCCTCCGTCACAAAGATCAAGCGCTGCTGCAGGAGATCAGCCTGATCCTGACATTTACATTTCTACTGTAAAATAAAATGATTGCATCTGTCTATGGTGAATACTTTACTGTAAGAATTACAGGTTGTGTTGCACTGCCTTTTTGACTATTTAAATGACAAATTGCAATAATGAAATCTATTGGGAATTACAAAAAGTTGAAATTCGGAATGCATTACGGTAATTTTGCACTCTAATGTTACAACATAAAACAGCTATTGGTCTTAAAACTGGATTTTAAAAAAAACTATTGGTCCTGAAAAAATGTCGTTATGCAAACTGCAAAATGTAATTCCCTGTTTTTTCATTTTGATCCAGGTGAAATGTGACGTTTTCATGAGCATTTCATAATTTTAATCTCCTTTATGCAGTTATGCAATAGTCATGCAAATATTCCATCCAAGTCTCGCGATTAATATGAGCTCAGAAAACTGCATGCATAATATGAGAATTGGGAATTTTAAGCTTGTAGTTGCAGTGCAGTGTTGATGTAGCGCCTTGTTTGTTTTTGTTTGTTGTTTTATTTTATATATATATATATATATACACAGTGGTGGCCAAAATTATTAGAACTAGTATTTTCAGCAGATAAACATGGTTTTAAGTCAGTTATTTCTATTTTTGCTGTAGTGTGTCAGCAGAAAATATCAGTTTATATTTCCAAACATTCATTTAGCCGTTAATTGTAATAATGCAGTGAGATTTATGTTTGTGCTCCACACAGAGATCTGATCTGATCATCATCAGTCTGTCTGGAGTCACATGAAGAAACAGAACAAACTGAGACTGACTCAATCCAGAAGAACTGTGTCTCCGAGACGCTTCAAGAAACCTCCTGCAAAGCTACAGTGCTGTTAAAAGTTTTAGGCACTTGTGTAAAAATGCTGTAAAGTGAGGATGCTTTCAAAAATAATGTCATAAATAGATTTTCTTTTTCAATTAACTTCTATTAACTACATTAAATCAACATTTGGTGTGAGCATCCTGTGTATTTAAAGCAGCTTTTGCTCTCGGTGCACTTGAGCAGAGTTTGCAGGTAGGTTTCTTGAAGCATCAGTTCTTCTGGATTGAGTCTGTCTCAGTTTGTTCTGTTTCTTCATGTGACTCCAGACAGACTGATGATGATCAGATCACATCTCTGTGTGTAGCACAAAAATCTCACTGCATTATTACAATTAATGGCCAAATGAATGTTTGGAAATGTAAACTGATATTTCCTACTGATACACTACAGCAAAAGATAGAAATAACTGACTTAAACCCATTTTAACTGCTGAAAATACTAGTTCTAATCATTCTGGCCACCACTACACCATGTGCATAATTATTAGGCACGTTGATATTCTGGTAATATTTTTTTTCCAAGCACATTTTACCAGTTCCAAACCACATCAATCTTAATAACTACTATTAGTTTTGTATTTAATAATTTATGAGTGATATATAATTGTCCATGAAGGCTGGAAGTGGAAAACTCATATTCAGGTGTGCAGAATTATTAGGCAGGTTTTCTTTTACAGATAATATGAGCCAAAAAAGAGACTTAACTCAGACTAAAAGTCAAAAATTATTAAATGCCCATGAGAAAAATGCAATACTAGAATTAGCAAAGTTAAGGCATGACCATTGGGCAGCGAAATGCTGATTGGGTCAGCACGGTCAGAAAAAGCAGGTGGAGAAGAAAAGACGCATGTTAACTGCAAAATAATTAAGAATTAATGTGAAGAATTAGGTGTGAAACCATCAGGAACCATTTAGTCTCCAGCGCCACCATTTTCCAGAACTGCA